TAACAGGCCTAAAAATGAACGAAGTTCCATCACGTTGGAAGGCGACGGCGCGTTCTGGATGGCTTGCACCTTACTTTCGGTTGGGTGCAATCCTTGGGCGTCGATTCTGTAGCCGAGATATTCCATGCTGCTCTTGAGGAACTCGCATTTTCGAAGATTGGCCCGAATTCCGTTTGCTGTCAGTCGAGCCAGAACTCGGTCCAACAATTGAAGATGATCCTCCAGAGTACTTGACGTGACCAAGATGTCGTCGAGATAGCAAACTACGTGCTCCAGTCCTTGCAGGATCTGATCCATGGACCGTTGGAAAATCGACGGCGCTGTGGATATTCCGAAAGGTAGGCGATTGTACCGGTAAAGACCCTTGTGTGTGGTGATGGTAGTGTAAACCTTCGAGTTGGGTTCTAGTTCCAACTGTTGGTAGGCACTGGTCAAGTCTATCTTGCTGAAGTACTTGCCACCAGCAAGCGTCGCGAACAAGTCTTCCGCACTTGGTAGTGGATAGGTCTCCGGCTGAATGCAACGGTTCACGGTGACCTTGTAATCTCCACAAAGTCGAACGGACTTGTCCTTTTTTGGGACCACCACGATCGGTGCCGCCCAGCTGCTTCTATCAACTTTGGTGATTGTGCCGCGTTTTTCAAGGGCCTCCAACTCTTTCTCCACCACCTCACGCAGGGCGTATGGGAGGGGGCGAGGTTTGAAGAAAATCGGGGCACATTCGGGCTTGACGTGAATCGCTACTTTGATTCCTTTCACCATTCCCAGTTGGTCGCTGAAAAGCATCTTGTGCTTGGCTAGCAAACTGTCTAGTCCGTTCCGAGCAGCAGGCTCTGTCAGTGAGAAGATGTTGGACCAGTTGATGCGGATGTGCCGCAGCCAGTTTCTTCCCAGCAAAGCTGGTCGATCTCCGTGGACGACCACCAATGGAAGCGTCAATGTCTGATCTTCGTAGGTTACCGGAACTTGTGCCTCTCCAAGGACAGGAATGGCGTCACCGGTGTACGAGCGGAGGCGAAGAGTCGAGGGTTCTAGTGGCAAACCGCGCAGCGACTCGTTGTATTGCCTCTCGGAGATGATGGTTAGAGCCGCCCCAGTGTCAAGCAGCATTTTTACAGCATTTCCTGCAATTTGCAGCAGGACTTCGATGCCGTCGCCGACACTGTGTGTCTCCATCAACTGGATACAGTGTGACGTAGTCGTCTTGGGGACTTTCTTGGCTGGATATCTGGTGTTGCGCACGTGTCTTGCTTTTGCAAACTCGCGCAATGTGTCCCTTCTTCCCGCAGTTACGGCACACTTCCTTCTTAAAAGGACAGTCCTGATGAAGGTGATGGTAGCCACAACGGTAGCAGGTGCTAGACGTAGAGGCACTCGACGCTCTTGGCGCCGCCAGCTTTTTTTTTGTTGAACGCGTCTGAACTTGAACTTTTTGAATTCCTTGAATTTGAGGAACTGCCGTCTGGGTGAGCTGACGAGCGTCTCTTCTGGCGAGCTCTAACCCTAAGGCGATATCGCATGCTGACTTGAAAGTCAGCGTCCTCTCGATGAGCAGGCGGTTGATGTAATACTCGTCTCTCAGCCCACAAACGAACCGGTCTCTCAAGGCATCATTCAGGAAGTCCTTGAAATCGCAAGTATGAGCAAGCTTCTTTAGCGCGGCTATGAACTCAGCGAGAGTTTCGCCCTCCTCTTGACTGCGTCGGTAGAACCGAAATCGTTCTGCAATCGTGATGGGGTTGGGCATAAAATGTTGAATGAGTACTTGTTTGAGGTCCTCGTAAGAACATTCAGTTGTTGTTCTTGGAGATACGAGGTCTCGAAGCAGCTCATAAGTTAATGCAGGAAGTGTTGCAAGCAAAATGTCTGCCTTCTTGCCTTCCGGAACCTCATTAGCCGCGAGCCAGCGTTCGAATCTCTCAATGTAAAGATCGAATCGCTCTGACTTGTTGAAATCAGGAACGTTACCGATGTAGGTCATCCTCACCCGGTCTGTGTCAGCGTCGGCGGGGTCCCTTCCTAAAGTCCTAGCAGTCGTAGCTTCCGCCAGGGTGTCAGAGCAGTGGACGTTCGGGTTGAAGGGGCTTTACCTATGCCGTTGATGCACACGGATGATGGCTGGAACACCCTCGTCGCCAATTGTAGTAACTGTGGGTTTATTTACATGATTAAAAAAACGTATGCCGCTGGCTAACCTAGGGCCTGCTTCATGTCGGCTCAGTCCAGTCAATCGCGCTCAGTGTTCTGTCTCGAGCTCGCTCGCGGTCTTTTCGCGAGATCTCGTCTTCTGCCTCTTTGTCCGAGTTACCACAGAAGACTCAGAAGAACATTATCGACTTCTTTAGATGGGAGTGTGACCAATGAATTGGAAGTAGCCCCCCTTTGGTTTCACATAGTCATGTGACTTGATTTTTTGTTAGTATGAATTATGGACGATACAAATATCTCCTGCGATCCCTCGAGATTCATATCATCGATCTTCTACTGCAATTGCAAAAAACAAAACCATATTTTTTTTTTTTAATTTGCAGTCTTGTGTGGTTGTCATCGGAACTATGGCGTGACCCTTTTCGCGGCGCCATCTATCCATCTATCGGAAATAAAGGAAACCGTTTCCTCTCCTTCGCTACCTTCAACGTCTTTCCCCGCGGCAAGCCGTCCCACCTCGATACCTCGACGATGGCAAGTGTGGCCTTGAAAAGTCGACCAACGGGCAGGGAAGGCTGCTGGTCCCAAAGACGACACCGAAACTCACTCGAAACACTTCTACTTGTTCAATCTCTTTGTAGATTAAAAACTAGCGCACACAAGAAAGAAAGGGTTCCCGCTCCTCATATTATGGTTGGTCTCGACTAATTCCCACAATTAATTGGCCAAAGTTAGAAAATCGTTGCACCACCTCTTGAAAGGGGAGACGCTGCTCTTTCACGTAATGGAGGACTGGCGGTCGGGTCTGTTAGTGCACGGTGGCTCGGAGAGCGTAGAGCACAAGCTCGCACAGCAAGACCCAAGGTTCCTGGGTCTTGTGATCCTCCCCTCTCCTGCCCGTTTCGATCTGGACGAGCATCCTACCGGCGTGCGGTCGTGTTTCGCCAAGCGAAGTATGCCGAAGACCCAAGGCTAGCAGTGGTATCGACTAAATAGGCCACGTAGGTTGATTCAGTCACAGGCCTACCTGACCTACGACTGAATAGGCATGTATTGACGAAAAAAGGACTACCGTAAAATCCGAAGAGATGTCCCACCCGAGAAAGGTAACCCACCCCCATTTCTGGCTCGAGGTGCTATTTCATTTGAAACACCGAAAGATGGCCCCCTCTTAGTAATCGTAGTTTCGGATCAATGATGACCGTGGCGTAAATGCGTCTAGTTAGCTATGGCGAGACATAAGCCAACACTGCTGATTGGATTAGTCGTCTTTGCTTCATTGCCCCTTGCCGCGATAACAACTTTGACAGGGACACACAATCAAAAAATAGCATTTATTCAACTTGCCCCAACTGCACACCAAAAGCTAGCCCACCCCTCATTTCCACCCAATTTTCTAACTATTTTAGGTGGGCTATCTCTCAGGACTTTACGGCATGTAGGCCAACGTCGACGGGGCGCCACGTCGGCGACCAAAAGACGAGGCAGGCTTACCTGTAGCACCGGCAAGGCGAGCCTCTGCATGATAGCGGTCGGAGCGACTGGGGGCCAAACCTTGCAGTATCTCCCTCACCACCCGCGCAAATGACAGCCGCGGAATGAGGGGCCGCGTGGTCCTCTAAATTTGCTTAGAAGACACTTAACGGTCGTCTCGGAAAGAAGCTATGCATTTATTAATTTTACCGCTAAACCTGGCGGGAAATGCACCGACGGGCAGATGGATGGGCGAAATCTTCCGATTGATGGAGCTCCGTTGAAAAGCATTCCGCACCTTCAAAAAGAGAACTCTAGCAATTTCTGCAGTTAGGCAAATCAATACCAAATAAACACACAAAACAAGCTCTTTTTGCATTGTTGTGCCAAAGGCAGACTTAACACAGAATGCATTGCATACTGCTTCACAATAAAACTGCCGGAAAGACTCTGCACGCATCTTGCGCCTCGACGGCACGAATGTTGTCGTGCGCTACGTCTCTGCAAGAGAGCCCCGCCAAAAGCGGAGTAAGCTCCGCCCGCGCACCGAAAGTGGTCTTGAAGTGGCAATGAACACACCGCCGCTGGAGCACCGCCCTTCTGCGATGCCATCGGGCGGAAATCGAGGGACCATTTTTCTTTGGACGCGGTAAATGCGCCGATCGGGGAACCGTTTTGGACGCCCTGGTGGGAGTAAAATGCGAAGTTCGCGCACGCAATCGACAACTAAAACTTACCCGTCTGCTACAATCTCTTAAAATTATGCGATTTCTCGTTTGTTTGAGCAGTATTTATGGTCCGTAGCTGAAAACAGTTCCGAGAGATTAAAATTAACTTCTTTGGGGAGAGGGGATTTTTAAAAACCCTTAGCTTTTTAGGGAACATCGAGACAATGTGTACAGGGTTTCCCAGATTACTTGCATCAAACTTTAAAACAAAGCAAACGGAGTCCTCCAGGGAAGTAAAACCAACTGCACGTCGTTAGCAAGCGTCTTAACATAGTTGCCGCATTTTCCTCGATCTGCCCAATTATTCGGTCGATTAAGACTAATTAGCAAACTTCAGTTTGTGAATTGGAAAGCGCCCCGTGTCTTTTAGATTTGGTACAAGTCATCCCAGACGCCTGAAATATATATCTTTTAACCTGTTTACAATCCACGCACTAAATACTCGCAAATGGCGTTCATTTACACCTACGCAACGACGCGTTTGATTGCACGGTGCCCCACACGCCGTACAAAAATCACAGGAAGTCGCTGTTGCCGGGTGCCATTAAAGGGGCCCTCCGGAGCGTTCTGCGATGGTCTATATATGGCGGTAACTCAATCTATGGGTCCTAAGGATCCTAAAAATCGTAAAATTACAGTCATGCGCGGCGGATTTCCCTATTAAAATTGCTATCAAAGTCCCCGGCACGCCCCCCTTTCTGAGATGACCCCGGAAAACGGGAGGGGCATCTCTTTACGCATCAGCCAATGGCAATCGAAGGATTCCAGTGTCACTACGCGTCACCGACCGCCGACCCGCGGAGGAATCTCTCCAACGCGCGGACCGTCGTCAAGGGGCCCGGACCAAAGTTGCTCGGACTTTGTGCTCAGCATTCGTCGTTCGTCGCATCCCACGGTCGCGCTATGGACCTTTCGGACCTAACGTCTCTAGAGCTCGAAATCCTGGAACGGACAGCTGACATGGGTGCCATATCCTATGATTCGACCCCGATGCGCGACGTCGACGAACGCAGCGCCGCGGGCACCGACTGTGGCAACGACGAACGGCCGCGCCGCGGTGAAGCGAGTCCGCAAGAGCTGGAAGACGCACCCGACGATGGAATCGGGCGGCTTGGGAACACGGACTGGTACGTGGTGCGCTCCATTATACCCCGCTTTAATGGGTAATTGATGCGTGTTTTCTGCGAAGGTGTCTATGTGGTTCCTGCGCGCCGATGGAGACCGTCGTCGAGTGCGTCTGCTGCCGCGAATACCCGGCCGTCGCACGGAAGCAGCAGGGCCGGCAGGGCTGCGTAACGGGCCACCCGGACTTCGAGGCCCTGTGCCTCAACCCTGAGGTGTTGAGGTTGGCCTACCTCAACATGCGGCACTACGGGCAGCAAGGGATGGGCGCAAGTGCCAGCGAGTGAGTACGATGTCATGCTTTGCGCGTGAGCAAACTCACCATGTCTCGGTGAGGACCGTGCCCTCGGCAACTACGTTCACTGTCCGATTCACAGCGTACATACGTACTTGTAATAACTTGTTGTTAGGCTAGATGAACGTTTAGCACCATCCTGGGAAGCGGTCGATGAATTGTTTGTGTTGCCGATAGTGAAATTAATTATAACCCCCACTGTCCAGGCGCAATATAGCGCTCCAGGGAGGCTTTCAAGAGACTAAATGAGAAGCAGCCTGCCTAGTTACCACCCAGTCATTTGTTCAATACAGAAACACGGACACTTCCAACTGCTGTCCCACTATAAACTACACATATTCTTATATGTTCTAAACGAACTGTTCTGATGAGACCGCCCTCTTCGAGCGTTACACTTCTTCCCGTTAGGCCAGATCATGGAGAGCTATTTTTCCTTGCATTTGCGGTTATCAGTTTAGATATGTCATTTTCTTGCTCTGTTTAGATGCAATGTTATGCAACAATAGCACTATGAAATATATGACAGTCACATGGCCTCGTCTCTTGTCGAGACGGCCTCGCCTCGTCGAGAGCAATAGAAGGCGACACCTTGGATGTACATATGCTTTGGCGTTGTCCCCATGCCCAATGCTCCCTTACCTCCCTCTTTTTCACCCTTCTCGACCCTCTGACTAGGCAGGCTGGCTCAACCCCCCCCCCCCCCCAGCTTCAACTCGTTGATACACTACTGCTCCTACTGGTACAGCATGTCCATGCTGTACCGGGTGAGCACTGGTGGCCCCAATCAAGCACCGGACTATGGTGTAACTAATAAAGGTTCCCTCTCTCTCTCTTTCTCTGTCTCTCAAGAGAGCAGTGGATATCCCACACGTTTGGCTTTGGCGCAAACGACAAAGATAACGCAGTCCGTGTCAGAAACCCAAGTCTGGCTCGCAGCTTGCTCAAATGGTGTCTCTGAACAGAGCCGAATTAGCGCCTGAAGCCCCTCTACAAGCTCGCAGAGAGCAGGTGGCCTCAAAGGCTTGAAAGTCCTACTTTGTCAACGAGAGCCGAAGATTAATTCACTCCCGAGATTGTATTCGTCTCATGCAGTTTCCTTGCTTTTCTGTCTTAGCATAACTCAACAAAGGGTGAAAGCTACTGCCCTTGTGGGCCAGTCTGAGCGACGGAGCTAAGCACGTGCCAAAATTCCACAGGAGGAGTACACTAAGACATTACGTTGTCACATGCATTGTTTTACACGCCCCGATTGGCTTGCTGATGCCGTAGCTTTTGCATTTTCCCAAGTTCAGAAAAACGAAGAATTACTGTTTCCAGATTATTTCCTGCTAGCTTCATGGACTGGACCAGCACTATACTACAGAACAACACTTTTGAAGCAACAAATAAATAAGCACGAAGTTATGATATTGACGCAGTAATTCGCAACCGTGTTGGGGAAGGATGCTCCAGTCACTTTGTTTCTCAGAGCTAAGAGTTCAGAAAACTGCATACACCTACTTTATCTTGCATGCATCAATGCCTTGTTGCTATCTTAAAAATGAGCTTAGCTATGCCAGCTAAGTTGATGCTGGGCAATCTTTTTGAGAAGAAACAAACACCAACTGCTTCAAGTGCACTGTCAACGTCGACAGTACAGTTGGCACCTTCAGCTCAGACATCCTCGTCCTTTTACCAGGTCTAGTCTCTGCGTGTGACCTTCAAGCCCATCAAAACAGGGGCCGATATCAAAATGACGAAAATCAAAATGTAAAGGCTAAACATTGAAACGTCGAAAAATAAAATGCCCAACAGCAAAACGCCGAAAGGTGAGAATGCGTACATATCTGATCGCCATATTTGGTACGGTATTGGCAGATGCTAGCTGCACCAGTGTGTTGGAATCATGGAAGTGTCTTCTGCAAAATTAGGAGCATGAAAAATGTGCAAGCTGCGCTCGAAGACGATATCGAGGCAGAAATCAGATTAGAACCTCGCCATCTACCACACAAGAAGCAAAGCATGCGAGAAGAGAGCCTGACAGCCACTTTGGGCAACTGGGACAAGCTCAACATCCTTAGCTTTCTTTGGGAAATACACACAAACTATTAGATCATATTCAACAAACAAAGAATTCCTCTGGCAGAACAAATGTTTCTTCCACTTTCTCAATCTAGAACCCTGTAGGTTCGTGTTGAACATAATATTTTGGAATTGTTTGGTCTCTGGTACCGGGTGATTCGGCTAATAGAGATTTCGGCGGTTTGTTCTTTCAACATTTTTTATTTTTGGCATTTCGATAATGCATCCTTTCAATTTTTGGGTGTCCCAAGCGAGTGCAATGTTCTCTGGTCAAAACAATCAAAAACTTGAGAACGATGACATAGGCACAGATTGCTGTTGAGTCCATGGATGCCACTACGTCTTTCCTCTAGAAGGCAAGTGGAGACTTATATTCCAACCCTATCGGCAAAAGTCATATTCTTTACTCCAGTATCCAAATTGTCAGAAGGGGCTTTAGACGGTGTTTGCAAGCTTTTTGGTCAAGAAACTACACAAAAAGGCAGTCATTGAAGGCTCATTGCTCTGGTTCGTGCACCGTTTACAATGCAATGGCAATGCGAACTAGAAACCTTCCATTCGCCCAGCGATGCAAAGTATCCCCCTCCCCCCCCCCCCCACACACACCAGCAATGTAAAACACCCCCCTGAAACAAATTTCTGGCTATGCCACTGCAGGCCATGCACTCAAAAAAATAAAAAAAATTTCCTTCTTCCCATACTATAATTGTCAAGGCAGTGCAGCCATATGGGGGGCGTACCATACTGATTTACGATTTATTTTTCCGCAGATATTGTCCACTTAGGGGTCGGTAGGCGTGTCGACCTCCTCAACGTAGTCCCCCTGGAGACGAACGCACTGGTTCTAGTAGTGTGGCAGCCTTTCCGTTCCGGGACCACTCTTTGGGAGTGCTTCGCACCCACGCCTGGACAGCCGCTTCGAGTTCACCAGTGTCCATGGAATAGGGTCCTCATAGGTGGTTTTTTCATGGTGCTGAATGGCTGATGGTCACTGCGGGCTAGGTTGAGGGAGTACGGTGAATGTAGGGATGGGCATTGTCATGCTGCAAGAGCGTACCTGCTGCCCCTTTCCCTGGCAGCTTCTCGTGAATCGCGCAATCACCTGAGGGTAGCCACATACGGGGCGATGTTGATGGTGGTGGCCGGTTACATGCAGTCAATGAGCATAATGCCCTCCGTATTCAGAAAGCCACGCGAGGATGTCTTTGCGGACATTGATGACTCGGAGGCATCTGTCCAGGCGTGGCTGAGACACACTTATAAACAGTGCAGGGATGTGATTGCTGCGCCAATTGCGCCAAACTGCACCAAGGGGCTAACTTTGCTACATCCTGCTACATTTCACCGAAATATGGCTAATCCGTGCCAAGCCTGCGCCAAAGAAGCAATTTTGGTCGCCTTTCATAAACGAAACGAAACTGAGAACCGTAATTGAGCATGCGTAAGCTAGGTCGCACAAGACGCCACCCGACACAAAGTACCCTGTATTAATCGTCTATTTGGTCTTGCATGATTTTTCCCGACGTCTCGCGTTTCGTGCACTCGTCGTCTCAGGAATCTCGCCTCGCGTCTTTTTTTTTTTTAGCGGTAGACACGGGCGTGTGCGGACTCTCAGACGTTAGTGTATTGGGTGCCAAACATGCCGTCATGCTGTGAGACAAAACCACGTTTTTGCGCGGCGGGAGTTACTTTTTGAGCTGAAGCGCTCGCGCGACGTCGTGTGTTGCCGTCCCCACGTCGCTGCAGATATGGCGCTTACTAAACTGAAACGCATCGACATTCCTGCTCTTGTTTAAATCATACGCTGCTATAAAAATCCCTCTCTAACTCAATGACTGCTTGGCGAAGTTTTGATTACTTAGGTTTTTCCTGGTGGGCTTTCTTTCGAGAGGGACCCCGGTACGTGAAAAATCTGCCGCAAAAGAAAGTTGGTGAAGAGAAGTGAGCTAAAGCAAAGAAGGCAATGTCTGCACGCTGAACCCGCACAGCGCGCTTGTTTGTCTCGAGTTCAGTCGTTGCACGAAGCGCTCCAAGAACTTTTTTGACCTTGATTCGCAGTGTCTTGCATCAATACGCTCAGGTTCTTTTTTTCTGTGTGCTTAGCCTGTACCTCGCCTGCCGGCCTGGCAAGCACAAGTCGCTGGACTGTTTATTGTCGTATGCTGGACAGTTACATTTTGCATACTATTTTGGGAACCATACAGTTGGCGACGGAGCGCGGAGTGGCATGGTTTCGGTTTCGGTCAAACAGCCGTTGTCTCCGCCCGCGCGACGAAGCACGTGTAACTGCAAGCCTGCCGAAGTTGCCCTTACGTGCATGTGAACATCATTGCAACAAAGGCACCAGCCGGGACGCTTGCAATGCGTTGTTTTACGTTTGCTTACTTTTTTTATAAAAATCTGCCACGTCAAGAATTTTGGCGGTGCCAGAAGAGTCCATGTGCGTATGGCAGCTGCCTAATTTGCTGTGCCAAGAGCTGCACAATAGTTTGTGCTCACTTGATTGTCACAAGGGGGGACGCCACGACAACAGCCACACTTGCATCTGCTCGTTTTCTCTGTCGTAACTTTGCCGGCATCTGACAGCATGACACTTTGGCTCCCGTAACATATTTTGTTGCCACTTTGGGACGGCTTTTGGTCCATGGGAGGTATATAGGGCAGTAAACACCCCAGTCAGAGACATGTCAAGGCGTCCTGCCCTCCAATCCTTCCTAGCTTCGATCCCTTAATCCCCTGATCTAGTTGAAAAGCCAAAATCTCAAGGTGGGGTGATAATTATTGGGTGTCTGGGTCTTGATTTACACTATTTTTGGATGCAGATGCCAGACACCCTGAAGCCGGTGGATGATCATCTCGACATGTTCCTTGTGGTGCCAGCAACACTTGCACCGCTGGTGTGGCATTCTTTGCACGCTATGCTGGGATAGTTTTTTAGGAGTGCCATATCTGGACAGCTTATTCAGAAGCAGGCTGTCGTCGTCGAGATCCATGCTTTTTTTTTAACAGATGATGTTGCAGTGCCCACATGGGTGAGTATGACAGAAAGGATTCGAGATTGGAATAGGTCACCAAACAGTATCGCATCATTTTTCGTTAAAATATTTTTCTAACAACACTATTCATTGAAATAAACACTGAAATTCAAAGTTTCTCGTGCAAGAATGGGGAGGCCTGGGGGTGCTCATATGTATCCCCACTACTCTGATGATAGTAGTGTCACCTCTAAATCAACACAGCATAATGGAAGACATATCGCAGTCTAAAACGGGAAAAAATGTTGATATATGTGTCTTGCAGATGCGTATATGACCAAATAGCAAATGATTGCGGTGCCCTGAGCCCTAAGGTATTCAGGACCAATAAACACATGGGGGTGGTAGCAGCTGTCATGGCAAATGGAAGCTGTCAGAATGACATGTTCGGATATTGACACGGATTGTGTCGGAGAGACATGAAATCACAACTGCTGGGGCCACTCCAGTATTGCATGAGCACTTCAGCTCGTATGTTTACACCAAAACTGTTCTGTGCGAGCTTCATAGAACACTCATGGCCAGGCTGCTATTCTCAAATCCCTAATCACCAGTACCAATGCCAAGCTTCGGCAGTGCCAGCAGCACTTTAGACAATGTTAAATTGGGACGTTCTCTGATGAGTTCACATTCCCTGGCACTTGTGTGCAGGAAACCTTTGCAGTAGGTGTGTGCGAATATTGGTTCAAATTGAATAGTATGTTTGCCATAACCTTCGCGCTGCAAAGAGAAGCCGATGCAACCGGCTCTTTTTGCGCTGTTGATGCTAGAAACGACAGTGCACTATTTAATTCGAACCAATATTTGCACACCACTACTTCACAGGCTTACGAACTGCACTGTTTTGTCCCAAATTAAACAACATCATATGGGGAGCTTTCCACTGTTCTGGATGAATGGCTCCCATTCCCTCTGGCCAGTGCACATAATTTTCATGTGTCCTTCCCAAAACACAGCGACGCAATATTCGTCACCAACACCAATGACAGATATTATCTACAATTATGAACTGGGACCCTGTGAACTTATTTTATGTATCATGACCACGCAACAGATATTCCTTCCTTGTTAATTCCGGTGTATAACTGGTTGTTGTGTCGATAGGAGTTGGAGGTGCGTTAGGAGAACCAAGGCCTGTAGTTTTTTTGTTTTGTTTTTTTAAACTCTGGAGCATTTAGAATGAATCTACAGCAGTTCACTTCAATTTGGCTTCCATGTCCAGCCCATCCGACATGGACTGCCAAATAGGGATTCTGCTATGTGATAGCTGGAGTAGACGTAACAGAAAAGCAGAGTATGATTACATGCCTAGAGAAATGAAAACAAGTGTAGAATTTGCCAACAGAGTGATAGGCTTTGCTTCTTACATCCAATCTCTGTCATTGTTCCAGGCACTACAGATTTGCAGCCTACAGGCAGTGTGCCCTGTGGCTGTGGAGCCGCTTGGGAAAGAAGAATAGGCGGCCCCTGCCATCCTGTGTGGTCAAGACAATTAGGGGCAGGTATCCTGCTGACGTGTATGCGGGCTACAGGGATGCAGAATAAATTGCGTTGACCTAGAGACCACGCAACCCCCTTCCCTTGTCTCTTCACCCTCCCTGCATGTGTGTGAAGTCGCTCGTAGCCATGAACGGAATCCTCTAAATCACGTGACCTATTATCTACGATATCACGTGACCATAACTATGATCACATGATCGTAGTCAAACCAAAGCCAGTGCACCTACGTCACATTCAGTCACACGACGAAGCCGCCTCGGTGGCTCCGAGGCGAGAGTGCCGGCCTACGGATCCCCATGTGGCGGGTTCGAATCCCGGCCGAGGTGCCTGCAATCTGATGGAGGTATATTGCGGAGAAGGCAGCTTGGTAATCGAGCTTTCGATTGCACGTCAAAAGATCCCCAGGTGGTCGAAATTAATCCTCGGTCCTCCGCTGGGGCGTGCCAGATGCCCGTCGTTGGTTTGGCACGTAAAACCCCCAAATTTGATTTGAGTCGCACGACCGGATTGCTTCATTTTCCTCCTAGAATCCAAAGGCTGTCATCAAAACTACTAGGGCGTGAGAAGTGCTCATTTGGAACACTAACCTAAGCAGTAAAATTTGGCACCCAC